ATTTATTCTTCTCGTCATTGTCACTTATTCTAGATCTGTAAATATACATATAGTTGCATGTGTGTATATTTATTTGTATTATTTGTATTTATTTGTAGTTATTTGTATATATATATATATATGTATATGTATATGTATATGTATGTGCTGTTGTATATCGGGAGTTGTAACAAAATAATTTCCCTCTGGGATTATTAAAGTATTTCTGATTCTGATTCTGATTGGCTGAAGTGTGTTGTGTGTAAACATGTGGGACCAAAGAGGGAACAGATGACGTGAAAGCTGAGAGCCAAAGACAGCAGGAGGCCAAAACCAGACCCGTATCAGCAGAAACACAACAGGTACAACATAAGGAAACCCCCTTAAACCAAACCCCCCCCAAACCATCCTCAGATGGGACCTCACAGGAATTCCTGGTTAAACGAGGGCGGGTCAGGACAGTCAGGGGGAAATATCTGATCTGTTGCCTCCAAAGTCGCTTTGGATAAAAGCGTCTGCCAAATGCGTAAACATAAATATAAACATAAACATAAACATAAACGTAAACGTAAACGTAAACATAAATATAAATATAAATATAAATATAAACATAAACATAAACGTAAACATAAATATAAACATAAACATAAACATAAATATAAACATAAACGTAAACGTAAACGTAAACATAAACATAAACATAAACATAAATATAAACATAAACATAAACATAAATATAAACATAAACATAAACATAAACGTAAACATAAATATAAATATAAACATAAACATAAACGTAAACGTAAACATAAACATAAACGTAAACATAAACATAAACATAAACATAAACATAAACTCTGCCCCGGTCAGCTGAGGAGACGCATTTCCTTTGGTTTTCCTGGCTCCCACCAGCTCAATATTCCTGATCCGGCCCGGAGTTACGGCCCCTCTGTGGCTCCCGGAGAGGAATCCTCCACCAGGATCCTTTTATTATTCAAGTCAAGGCAACAGAGGCTCAGTAAAAAGACAGAAAGTCAAAGATCTGACAGGAGAAAATGGAGGTGGAAACCCAGAGTGTGTGAGAGGCCTCGGTTTACCGGTTTTCCCTCCCTAGACCCGGTTTTCCGGTTTTCCCTTCCTAGACCCGGTTTTCCCTCCCTAGACCTGGTTTCCCCCCCCTGACTGGGCCTGGTCTGTAATGTGTCGGCATGCCTGGACGCCACGCCCACGCACGGGAACGCCGCACGCCCCAAATAACTACCACCCCCCCCAAATAACCCCCCCCCCCCACCCCCCTCCCCCCCAGGGCCAACCGACCAGCCGGGAGCAGAAAGTGTGTGTCAGAGTGTGTCAGAGGGAAAGCAGGAGGATGAGGGTCCACAGAGGGGATCCAGAGGGGTTCTGATCCAGACCAAGTTCTGATCCAGACCTGGTTCTGATCCAGACCTGGTTCTGACCCGCACCCGGTTCTGTTCTGGACCCGGTTCTGACCAAGACCCGGTTCTGACCTGGACCCGTTCTGACCAAGACCCAGAGGTCTCCCAGAGGATTCCCGGGAAGGAGAGCGACAGGTGAGTGATCTCTGGAGTTTGTGAAAACCTCAGAACAAACAACAGCAGAACCCCTAAAGTCTCTGGTTTAAAGGTATAAAGGTTTAGAGAGAAAGTTAAGATTATGTCAACTCTGTCAAGATAACTGTGTTGGAGATGAGTATCGTGTTTTGTTTGAGTGTAAAAATGTAGAAATATGCCACTACAGAGAGATTAGAGTATTTTCCACAGTATTATGCGAAGAGCCCATTGATGTTTAAAACGGTTTCATTATTCCAGTCTGGAGAAAATAAAATAATTTGTTATAAGTTGCGTGCCTTTTTGAAATGCGTCCTCCCATTATATCGATGATGTTATAGTTTTAATGTTTATGCGTTACTTTGTTCTTATATTTATTGTTTGTGCTCCAAACCATGTATATGATCATGAGCAATTAGATAGAATAATTTAATTGAATTGAAACTCTGATAATCAGAGTTTAGACTCAGTGTGGTGAGAGCTGAGGGGATGTGAGACAGAAAAGGGAGGATGGATGAGGAGGAGGGCAGGAAAAAACATTTTACATAATATTTTCCACTTTTTCTTTCAGATAGATATTCATTTTGAGTTTTTGTAGGTACATTTTGGGGTTTTAACATCACAAAATGTATCCTCTAATGACAAATACCTGTTTCAGATCCCAAGTGCTGCTTCTAGAAAAGCTGTGAGAAGGAAGTGGCTAAATTGTAAATTATTTGCTTAATTTTCCCATCGCATAACAGAAGCGCACCCCAGCATTTTTGGTTTTAGCCAACGGAGTTATATTCGTTATTTTTATGTTATTAATCTCTTTTTGAACCATTGGGAACCATCCGTCTATCTGTGTTTCCTGGGGAATTACGGATGTGTAGCTAGATAATGCTGTTGTAATTAACAGATTTCAACAAAGTTAAGCTAGTTCCCTGGTGTCCTAATGTAATGTCTGTGACAAGCTTTGGTCAAAATCCCATAAGGATGAAGCCCAATAGCAGTTCAGTCCCCCTGCCTAAGCCTAACCCTAACCCTAACCCTAACCCTAACCCTAACCCTAACCCTAACCCAAAACAGCCCCGTTCAGAGCGCTCGCTTTGGAGTGCCTGTCTCTTTAAATGCAAATGAGACACAGCCAATCCACCCACTTCTTCAGGGAGGTGTGCCCACCTCGGCACGCTAACGCTACCATGCTAACGATACCATGCTAACGCTAGCATGCTAACGCTACCATGCTAACGCTCACGCTACCAGGACGTCTCCACAGATAGGGGAGTAAGCTGAGGGGGGGGGCAACATGCAGGTGAAAGGCTGGAATATTATAATGAGCTAGAGCTAATGACGTCAGAAACTACCCACTCCTGAAACCTCCTGATTTATCTCCTGGATTCAGACTGAGGCAGCCCACAAAAACATGACTGAGTCATTTTTTTTCACACTTTGCCTGCTGATAGGCCCTCCCCAGTCCCAAATGTACATAATCAAATGATTAAAAACGTGGTTTTGCATAATATGTCCCCTTTAATCGACATTTGTTTTCTGTAAGAGGGCCCTATGAACAGATTGTTAAGGCCTCCAAGCTGACATTTTTTACTCTGCCTAGCAAATGGTGTGATTGGTTAAATGCTTTAATATGAAAACGCATGTCTGGAAGCAGCACACCCAGGAGGAAAAGCTATGAAAGGAAGCGGACAGACCATTTGGAAATAATCCACAGTCCCAAATGTACACAATCAAACGATTAGGAACGTGGTTTTGCATAATATGTCCCCTTTAACTGAACTGATCCTGGTCCTCTGATGTCCTCAGCCCCCCCCCTGAGGGATGGACCCCCTTGGGGGTCCGTACCTGAACCGGGCGGCTCTCTGCTCTCCGCTGGGCGCCGCCCGGCTGTGCCAGCTGGCCCTGGGCTGCGCGGTGATCGCCGTGGCGACGCACGGCTCCGGCTCCAGCGGGCCGCCGGGCGCCTTCTGCATGGCGGCCTGGGGCGGCTGCTTCGCGGCCTCCGTGCTGGTCTTCTTCCTCGACGCCACGCGGCTCCACAGCTGCCTCCC